TTTTTCTATTGGATTATTTACCTTTATCTTGTTGTGGTGCTCAAGTATTTCATAAATTCTGGATATAAGTTCCTTATCTGATATGGTATTACCGAATACTTTTTCCCAGCCTTTTTACCCTACTGGAGAAGTTTTTGGATGTGCATATCTCCCCAACTTTTTTTATTGTGATGAAAATCTACACAAAACATATGCCGGTTCAGCAATTCCTACACCTATGAACTTGTGACCTTGATTACAGTCTTCAAATAATGCAATCATTCTTGATATCTCCAGTGCAAATTATTCTTCTTAATATCCCTATCCAAATTATTCTAGCAGCATCAACATGCATTGAATAAGAATGGCAGAAGAATGGATGCCTTTGAGTTGTGGTGCTGGAGAAAGGATACTGACTATTCCATAGACTGCCAAAAGAACAAACAGATATGTTTTAGAGAGGGTGCTACCGGAGTGCTCCTTAGAGACAAAGATGGCAAAGTGCCTTCTTTCACACTTTGAACATGTTCGGAAAGATGGGGGGAGGTCAGCGAAGGAGAGGAAAACCTCCGATGAGATGAATTGACACAGTGACTTCAGCAATGGGCTGGAGTCTTTCAGAGGTGGTGAGAATGGCACAGGAGAGGACGGAGTTCAGGTTGGGTTGGTTGTTTATAGGGTTGCTATGAGTTGTACTCAACTTGACGGCACCTAACAACATAATTGCTCTGGCGACCTAATGGTTGAGGAGATTCTCTGCCAACTCAAAGGCAGGCAGTGTGCCTCCACCAGCTGTTCCGAGGGAGGAGGACAGTCTCCTCTTGTGCAATTTGCAGCCTCTAAAAATCAGCAGGAAGATCATCTCTGAGTTAATTGTGACTCAACGACAATATCGTTGCCACGACTCCAATCAGTTCAGAGAGTCGCTGTGAGTTAGTTGTAATCAACTCAACCGCACCGAATTACAATAGCAATGTCTGTCTGGATGTGTCCTTGGTTGTGCTATGTGATCCCCATGCACAGGTGTGTGAGTGTGTGTGTGTTATTGTGTATGCTGTGAGTTTCTATAGGGGAATATTTGAGAGCCACATCTAATTGTCAGGGACTAGGCACTTCAATACGTTGCCTCATTCACAGTGTACTTAAATAGATCAAGGTTCTAGAAGGCCAGGCTGTGCTGTTGGGGGTGGGTGTTTGGAAATGAGAGAAGTGAGTGGTGCACAGAGATTCAATGTGGCTATCATGACGTGCTCCCACTGACCCCTACTTATGTCAGCTGCCCCCAGGAGTCCACCATGTCGAGTTGTGACCCTCCGTGTAGCTGCAGCCGCGGCCCCAACGTGGAAGATGGGAAATGGTATGGGGTTCGCTCCTATATCCATCTCTTCTATGAGGACTGTGCGGGAACAGCCCTGAGCGATGACTTCGAAGGGCCCCCAATCCTGTGCTCCCGACGACCCTGGCCCTCATTGTGCTGGAAGGTAAGGCTGGAGGAGGGGAGGAGCAACTCCTGTGATGTCCTGCAGCTTCACACAGAAGATGGGATTGAACTGAAGTTTAGGGATCTGAAAGAAAAGTAATGGTAGCCCAGTTAGGAGTCTTGCATGGTCAAACAGCAGAAAATCCAATTCAAATGAGTTTACACAATAAAGGGAAAGTATGCTCATTTAACAAAAGAGGCCAGAGATTGGATGACTTCAGGCAAAGTTTGATCCAGCAGTTCAAACCATCACAATGAAGACTTCTCAAAGTTTCCCTTAGTTTTCAGGCTGCTCATGCTATATACCTCCCTATGGGCCACTCTCAGCTTTAAGCACATCTGACATGTTCTTAGAGGACTGTTGATTGAAAGGGAAAGTGCGCTGAAAGCAGTGTAGATGGCAGAGACCCAATTTCCCTAACCTAGCTCCCAGGAGAGCACCCCTTCTCTCTAGACCTCCACACACCACCCAAAGAAAGTCAAAGTTCCTTTTGAAAATAGACCATGCTTTTTTGGTCCTGACCAATGGCCAGGCTCAGCGATGGGACACACTGGTGCCAGGGAGAATGGTCAGGCCTGGGTGGAGGGAGACACATGGCTAAAGATGTAGAGGAACAGTGAGGTGATTCCCTAGCATGGATATAGCCCTTTACCCAACACTGCAGAGAGATAGAGGCGTACGATTCTCCAGATGAGGTACCAGCCGGCACAATCTCAGACCATGTGTGCAGGGGTTACTGGGAGAGGAAATGGTCTTGGTGCCTGGAAGATCAGGGAAGACTTCCAGGGAGAGGTCAGAACGTGATGAAAATTTGTGAGCATCCTCTCGTTGTAAGGCACCATACTAGTTTCTTGGGGACATGGGATTTAAGAAGGCACGCTCTTCTCTTTCTAATGAACTTAAGACATTCCTAGCTAAGGTCCCTTCAATAATCCAGCAAACATTTATCCAGCTGCTGTTCTGTGCTTTTACCTCCTTGCTAGGGGACACATTGTGAGCCAGACACAGTCCTGTTCTCACAGGCCTATCAGACATCGCTTGTCTAAAAACACCCTCAAAACTGCCATGGGGGGACGGCTTCAGCTCACAGTGGATTTCCACAGAGTAGAACTGCCTCATAGTGTTTGTAAAGCTGTAAATATTTTTTAAAATGTATTATTTTTGTGTGTGTACTGTCAAATCAGATCTGACTGGTACAGGAGGAGATTGCCCCTCCTTCTCCAGCAAAGCATCTGGTGGATTCGAACCGCGCACCTCTGGGATTGCAGTGCAGCTTCTTGCCACTACGCCACCAGAGCTAGCCTAAAGCTGTAAATCTTTATGGAAGCTGCCAGTCATATCTTTCTCCTGTGGCGTGGCTGGCGGGTCCAAATTGCAGAATTTCTGATTAGCAACTGGCCACTTTTCCACGAGGGCTTCTCATCGCTTATACAGGAACCAAAATACATGCCAAATCATACACTTAGGTGTGTGTGCTTAGGAATGGGCATGGTATCTACCTGAATACAAAGCTGGGGGCCTGACAGAGAGGAAGAGAGTGGACAAGATGGGATCTAAATAATACAAGACGGAACTTGAGGTTGGCAGGAGAAATCCACCTCTGGGTGGGAACTAGGAAGGAAGTTAATCAAGAAACTTCAAGATTCTAGAATGTGACCACTTGTGTCCCATCAGACCCCGGCAGATGTGTTCTGTGATCTTAAGGCTGGACCAAGAGGTGACGTTTAAATCCCATCAGGATCCCCAGGGATTCCATGGCTGACCCTCATTCTGTTTCCTGGCCTGTCTCTCTCCAGATCAGCTTATCCTCAGGGACCCTGCTTCTGCTGCTGGGAGTGGCGGCCCTGACCACTGGCTACGCGGTACCCCCCAAGCTGGAGGGCATCGGCGAGGGCGAGTTCCTGGTGTTGGATCAGAGAGCAGCTGACTACAACCAGGCTCTGGGCACCTGCCGCCTGGCAGGCACCGTGCTCTGTGCTGCGGCTGGAGTCCTGCTGGCCAGTTGCCTGTTCTGGGCACTGACCAGCTGGCTGAGCCAGAACCCCAAGGCAGAGCATGTGGACACTGAAGCAGACAGCCATGTGGAAGTCTTTGGGGGCGAGACAGAGCAGCAGCTGTCCCCCATGTTCCGTGACGTCAGCAGCCAGTCGTGGCTCTCACCGCCCACAAGTCCCTTTGGGGAATCCTCGGTGCAGACCATTCAGCCCAAGCGGGACTCCTGAGCTGTCCATTGGCTGGAGAGGGAGCTGAGCCTGGGGGCTGGGCTCTTTCTTCTCCCCTCTCATTGTCACTCCAGCTTCTTCCTTTCAGCAAAGTCTCTTTCATCTAAGCTCCCAAGAGGCACCACTCTAGGTCAGAAAATAAGAGTTCAAATTCTTCTGATCCTTCCCCATGGGGAGGGCCATAGCTCATCCTAAATCATCTTAAAAGTTTGCACCTCACTTTCCAGAGCCCCACAGGGAACTGGA